ATGATCTGTCCCATCACGTAGTGTAAAAAGATGATGATTTTATCCCCATGCTGAGTGGAGATGTAGAATGCTACTATTCCGGTTCACAAAGGCAATCAAACTGCCAGGCTATAAACTTTGCATATGGGCAAGATGCCCCGGTGGCCAATCATAAACAGAGATGTGATCACATGTCATGGAAATACATTTCCCATAAGGTAGTTTCTTAAAGGAGACAGTTCTTAATTCCTATACTAGCTATATACTGCTGGGGCAGCATAACAGGACCTCTGACTTGAAAAAGGAAAAAAACTAACTAGATTACCAGATGAGCATTTTAAAAGTGCACGGTTAAATAGCATGCACCTTCAGGATAACTGCGGGGCCCATTTGTATGTCACTCATGGCGGCTTCTGTGCTGTAGAAATGGGTTTGTCACACAATCAGCACTTTTCCCACTCTAGCTGAGCTACTAGAGGTTTCTCCGTGTCATCAGTTGCGTTGGCTTCATTTTTGGAAAAGATATGAAAGCATCTTACTGCAGTCTTCATTTCCTCAGGTTTAATTCACATAATAAGGAACGCCACGGCACGATGGGCTCTCAGAGGGATTAGCAGGGGCTTTGCTGATACATGTCTCTTGGCTTATCAATATTCACACTACGTGCTACAACACTGAGCTTTATTTCTAAATGAGCTAAAACATGATGTTTCTCAAATATCCCTAAACTTGGATTAAAGGCCCCATGCAAACAAGCTGTGGGCTTGCTGTAGACTTTTAAATGCAAGCCATGTTCTAGACTAGAGGGACAGAAAACAGATAAGACACTGTAGAGGCTAACCATTTCATTACACCGAGTGTACATGCCTTTTAGTTGGCTTGCAAGGCAGTCTCTAGAGCAGTGTTTCTCAACCTTGGCGACTGGCTGGGGGATTCTGGGAGTTGAAGTCCACAGGACTTAAAAGTCGCCAAGGTTGAGAAACACTGCTCTAGACTAAGGATCTTAGCTTGTATAAAATAGAATGAGAATACTATTAAAATGGGCATATGGCTGTATGGTACTCATGACCTACTGGCCAGTGCTGTACAGCGCATGCCACAAATGGCATTTGTTTGGATTTTTTTTTCCAAAGCATTGTGTTTTCAAATGCCTGGAGACTAAAACATATGAAGAATGGCTGCAGGATTTGAGTTTGGCTAGTCTAAAGAAAAGAATAATTAGGTCTGATATAGCAGTATTCCAGTATTTGAGGGGCTGCCACAAAGAGGAAGGGGTCAAATTATTCTCCAAAGCACCAGATGGCAGGACGAGAAACAATGGTTGGAAACTAATCAAAGAGTGAAGCAACCTGGAATTAAGGAGAAATTTCCTAACAGCGAGGACAATTAACCAGTGCAATAGCTTGCCTCCAAAAAGCATGGACGCTCCATCACTGGATGTTTTTAAGAAGACAATCACTTATCTGAAATGTTATAGGTTCACCTGATATACAATGAATGAGAAATCAATATATCCATGGCTCCTTCTGGTGACCCCAGCACGATTGTCTCCTTTCCATGTTCATGTTTCTTGCCTTATTTATTTGGCTTACTGCTTCTTTTCTGTATCCAGGGTAACATCCCAAAAGGAAATAATCTGATGTATCTGTACATATGTATTTATTTATTGTAAAGTATTTTTATTATAGTTTTCTTTGTTTTATGTCACAGTTTCAGCTTTGCAACAACGATTATATCCAGTTTCTATGCAGAAGCAGCAGGTTTGAGTTTAGCACAAACACCACTCCATGATAAACCATGATAAACTTTATTAATGTTAATTTAACAGATATGGATTCATTAAAAGATCAGGCAATGAGGTTCATCACGTTAGCTTTTTATAGTTAGGGAGACAACAGGCTGATTCTTCATTAAGCAAGGTAAAGACTTCAACAGAAATCAGCTTGAGATTATTACAAAAGAGTTTCCCCCCCTTACAATTCAAAATAAAAACACAAATTGCCTCACAAATCTGTATATGTTACTGTCAACACGCCATAATATAGCAAGCTGAACAACTTTTCTGCAAAGGTCCCAAAGAAAGCATTTCCCCAAAGTTTTATTAAAGCCAAAATTGCTTGTGATACATCTCCTGTATCTCTGAAAAGCTTAGCAAAAAATGTTAAGCCACAGGCTACATAACAAGTGTCAGTGATGTAATAATGCAAATATGACCATTGGAGATACAGAACCAAACAACACACAATTTCAAAAGCATGATGTTTGGTTATCTTTTTTTAAAACCAGGGGAAAATAATGTACTTCACTTTGCTTCGATCCTACCCACTGACATTATCCCAAGAGCTGATCTGAAAGAAGCCTGGTTTGTAATATAAGAAACAAAGACTAAGAATAAACTTTTAGCCAAAGGACAATATCGTGCCCAGATAAATATTTTAAAGACAAAAATAAACTATGTCAAGAGATTCTTAAAGAGTCCCAGAGACAGTTCAAGATTCTTAGGCGATTCCAATATAATCATTAAGACTTCAATATTAATTAGATATTAATGTCAATCACCTACTGTAATCATGACCTGGCATTTAGATACCAGCAAAGGTATCACACCACAGTAAATGCTATCCACACGGAATTTGGATAACAAGCTGGATACACGCTGTCTTAGGATTTGTGGTTTTTTTTTTAAATTACAAATACATATCTAAATCTAAGTATTGATTTGTTAAAAGAGAACACACACTCTCAAGAACAACGCAAAAGCCAGGAAGCTCATTTTCATGAAGATAAATGTGCAACTACACCAAGACTCTGAGGGACAATCCTAGAATACACACCCCGCTTCACGAAATGTGTTACATTTGCAGGAGAAACCACAGGTTCCCATGCCAATTTTTTTTCATCTTCTTACAGCCATGATCCAACATAGATTGTCTTTCCTTCCTTCTTGTTCTTATTTTTACTTCATACCTTGTATCACTACTTAGCCTTTTTTCACCATGTTACCTTAAAGAATGGATAACACTCATTTTATTTTTCACAGTGGTCCATTCCACTTCAATAACTTCCAGAGCACCTTTTTTCTAATGCCTCCACAAAATTTAACTTTTAAAACATTTCTAAAAATCAAGTAATATGGCATAAAAGACATACTTGGAAAACAAGTGGCATCCTGAGACTGGGTCCTTTACTTGATCATAAACCTACAACTGAATCAGTCAGAATGCTTCAGTCAGACTGCCCTTCTATCTCAAATTATGTCCTGCAGAAATCTAGATTTGCCCAAACTGTAATTTATGTATTTCTATCATATGGATACTTCCTTCCACTTTTTTAGCAGTACTACTTCTGAAAACTGACAGCTCCATAAGCCACTACATTTGTCTTACGGATTCTTTGAATGCCAATTAGAATACCTCTAATGAATGAGGAAGTATTAGCAAAGTATTCAATGGCTTAGATGTGCAATTCTCATAACCATGTAGCATTAGGTGCCTTCCCTGTCCCAGGATGAAAACTATCAGAAGTCTAAAACTAGGTTTCCAAATCATTCGCTTCCAACCTCTGTGGATCTTCCCAGTCTGCTGTTCATTTTTTTAAAAAAGAAAACAGAAAGCATACTGAAATGCCAGCTGGGAAGCCTGCAGACAGAGATTAAAGATGGCACCCTGAATGGTTTTTGCACCAAATGATCTTCAGCCTTTGGTTCCACCACCTAATGTAATCAAAAGCTATGCTCAGTGAATAGGACACAGGAAATTAGAGTAATCTAATTACCTCAAGCAGTGGCAAGTGGAACAAAGTCTAAAAGATTAGATGCAGACATTATACCTAATCTTCCACTAGAACATCATTGTGAAGGTACGTAATAATGTGAGGTATGTAGGAACCTCCTCATCTCAGTCAACCATAATCAAAGAACAATGTTCAACATGGGTAGATGGGTTAAGCAGATGATTATTTTTTTAAACCACTTCCTTTCGGCAAACAATGGCCATGGATATTCATGGCCTAACTTGTCAGAAGAACACGATCCAAAGCTATTGGACAACTACTGAGGAACATATAATTAAGTACACAGCTTAAGTGCATATAATTCTGAAGAACTAAACTGTTCAAACAGGGATTTTCTCAGATGGCACAAAATGGCCTTTCCGACATATTCAGAGCATCTGAAAAGAGGGTAAGGAGGAAAAGAAATCCATGGAATATGGTCTTAAAAAGGAGTTCCAGGTATGGAAATACTGCCTTTTTATTGTCACTTTTCCTCCAAGCAGCACTAGCAAAGTACCACTTTCCCGTCTTTCTAGGGTGTTTGGTAGAAGAATGAAAATGATTCATCGTCTACCAGCACGGCCTTGTTTTCAATCATCTGAAAAACAAGACCCTTACAGCTCACTGTTCATACAGCCAAATGTAGTAGCAAAGTCTATGCAGGTTAAGAGAACACCCCTGAAAGTTTCACCCCATGGGAAGCAAGAAGTGCCCAACCCAAAGAGAAACTGATCAAAGCTGTGAACAGTGCATCCTGTGCAGAAGTTAACAACTGGGTCACTGAAAATGCAAGTGTTTTATTTTCTGCATTTCTTAATCTATAGTAGAGCATGAGATGAAATGAAGGAAGCGTCTGTTCCAAAAAGACCTTTATACGCCCATATGCCGTTATGGCTTAGACCTCAGAGGTATGGGGCAAACAGTAAATCTGGTGGATTTGCTCCACTAAGAACCCTTTAGGCAAGTTTCCCCAATGGGTTTGCCTAGGACACCTGTTAGTGGACTGAAATATTGATCAAACAACCCCAGAATTTTACAAAAAGCAAGCACGGAGCTTAAAATTAAAACATTTTGTAGACTTCATTCAAGAGGAAAACCTTTGGAAAGACAACATCATAGTGTGTGGATGTATGTCTTTGTGAGGGCACCAAAGCCATTCTGCACAGTGTGTTATGACTTCAGCTGGCAGAGTGTAATGGTGGCTCCATTAGAAAACACCCAGAATGCGGAATAGACAGCTTCCGTGAATTCTATTTTGAATTTATAGAGTGGGAAGGTTTTTTTCTCAGTGACACAAAAGAAAATAACAAACCCCCCATCGTAATTTAGAAGGATACCAATCTTCGTTGCTTTGTTGCAGGGCAGAGATGTTTCTTTATTATTGTGCCAAGCTGAGATCTTATTGTTGACCCATTCAATGCACCAGGAGCTGCTATTGCGTCCTAGGCGGCTTTCCGGGCCCCGTTTTAGCATGCTACCATAGCAGATGCCGACAGCACAGAAGTTGTTGTTCTCCAGGTCAACTTCCCAGTAATGGATTCCCTTCTTGAAACACTGGAAAGAAAGCACTTGATAGAAGCTTAAGAATCGCTGAGGGTGCGGTTTGTAATCCTGTACATTTTCTGTGACAGACAACTTGGTACATTTCTCCAGTAATAGGATATTCTTATGAGCCGTGTGGCGATCCAGAGTAAATTGCGTAGCAACTAGGAATAAATACAATCAGAAGAGAAATCAGAAAACAGCAAGAAACTTGGAAAAGAGTGGTGATCATGAACATATTATTGCTAAAGTTTATAAATTATTATTGAATTTGGAGAATGAATATGTAAAGCACTATATGATTCAGTGGGCAAGGGACTTTGGATATAATATCACGCTTGAACAGTGGGAGAATATGTGGACGAAAGGTTTAAAATTTTGTAAGATGATGTATCATTGGTATTTAACACCAGATAAGTTCTCAAGAATTTATAAAAGTTTTTCAAATGAATGTTGGAGATGTAAAAGCAAAGAAGTGGCCTTTTATCACTTATGGTGGATATGTGACAAAGCAAAGAAATATTGGATTAGAAGTCATATCTTAATACAGAGAATTCTCAAAGTGAATATTAAGATAAAACCAGAAACTTTTGTTTTGGGTTTAATGGAAAGAGACTTGGGGAGGGGGGGGGGTGAAATCCGGAAATTTGATGCTATATATCCATGATGGTGAGCTTTTTGACTCCTTTGCAATCACTTTATTTATTCATCCTAAATAACTTAGTGACATCAAAAACATTTTCCTGTTCATATGTAGCTCCAGATCATTTATCAACAAGATAAAAAGAAAGGATCTTGAGACCATTTCCTTAATTTGAGAATTCTTATTATATTTCTGACCCTATTAGTTATGGATACATAAAGCTATCCACTAAAACCAATCATAATAAAGGGAGTCTTCAAATAAAGGAGAAGCGTAACTAAAGAGGAAATTCAATAAACAATGAATTTGCTATACCTGTATGTGGGTGGGTTACATGGGTGAGTCTTATCTTACACCATCTGTTAGTTTTGGTCCACATCCCTTTGCACAAGTCTTATGGTCAGTTACAGGAATTATTTTAGTACTTAGGTTATTCAACTATAAGTTACATTAAACAAGTTCTTTCTGTAAGCAGAATTTAAGCAAGTTCTCCGTTTATGAATAAGAAGTAAATTTCCATTAGCTCAGCCACTTGACCTCTGTTTTATATGATTCTTAAAATATTGTATCCCTTGCTTTTATACTATCTTTCCCTCCTGCCTCACCGGGACACTGCAACTGTCATAAATTTGAGTTAATTGTCAAGCATCTGAATTTTGACCATGTGACCTTGGGATGCTGCAATGGTCTTAGTGTGAAAAACGGTCATAAGTCGTTTTTTTCAGTGTCTTTGCAACTTTGAATGGTCACTAAATGAAATGTTGTAAATGGAGGACTACCTGTAATCCCAAAGCAATGACATTTAATAAGTCCACTCAGCAGTTACTTCTCAAGTCATTGCCATCAATATAAGCTGACATTCAAGGAACCTTTTAAATATTAGAAGGGCTTATTACTATTTCTTGTGAAAATTATTCTTTTTCAACATATTGTAGTCTTACTCAACATACTGTAGCCTTACCTAAAGAAATAGGCCAGTAGTCAGAAACATATGTTTTCTACGGAAACATGACTCGTGAGATTATAATGGTGTGTTAATTTTGGAGGGTATTTTTTGTGCTTATCAATCTTAAAATGTGAAAGCCTTAACCTTCCACCTGACCTTTAACCATAACTAGTTAAAGTTTGGAGCAACCTACTCTTAAGTTAGAAGCTGATCATTTTATGTGCTCTATTTTATGCTGGGTGGTTTTGTTTTAGTAATGTTTTTTCAGAATGAACGTTAACCATAACTATTAATATTACTGTTGCATCGTTTCCAAAATTTACACCATACTAGTAGTTACTTACATTCCAGAAGCTCCTCTCTTGGTTTTTTTAAAAAAGTATCAAGACTTGTTGTTTCACTCTTTGTCTCAGCTTTGCTGCAGCTTTGCGCTCTCTGCTTTGGACTTTCCGCTATAGTTACCAAACAAGGTAAAAAGATACACCTTTATAAACGCATTAAAACTTATTACGCATATTACATTGAAAAGACTGCCAAGTTTTATAATACAAGACAGGCAAAAATTCATACTATCTAAACAGAATATAAACTCCACTTCGATACCTAGTCTGCAAATCAACAACCAAGCTCAGAGAGCACCAAGGGCCCGATGGTTCAGAACGATCCCCCACTGCCATGTCAAATGGTGGAATAGTTTCTAATTTGAGCACCAAGAATCTCTCAGTTCAATCCTGAGCTACAAGTATCCTCTTCTGTTGGTATTCTGAACCAGCTACTCAATATAATCTATGCTCCAGCTCTTTTCAGATCTGGTAGTCAATAGCATTTCAGGAGTGGAAATCTTCTCCCTTCTGTTTCCATTTGCTCTGCATACCTCCATGGCCACAAAGTTGTGGTAGGAAAGTTTGCATTTACCCATCAGACAATCCAGGTTTTCCAAGAGCTGGCAGTAGAGGACAGCATTAGTATGGTGAAATGTACAAGACTCTAGTTTTCTAAAGCTCGGAAAAGTAGCAAACATACCCAATGGCCCTAAATGAAATCACTTTTGACTATTGTTCGTGACAATACCACTAATCTGCCTTTCCAACAAGAATGCTTTCTAAAAGACTTTTTCTGATGATCTCAACAATTCCATCTAACCTCAATTCAACTAAGTCTGTGAACTTAAGTTTTCCTGGCTTTAACACTCTCCTGGGAAGCTTGCAGTAATCATTTACCACTACTAACTATTCTGTTTCAGCATTAATGTCACTAAAAATCAATAGGCGCTGTGGTGGTACAGTGGTAAGAATGGAGTATTACAGGCTAATTCTGCCGACTGCCAGAAATTCGATCCTGACCGGCTCAAGGTTGACTTAGCCTTCCATCCTCCTGAGGTTGGTAAAATGAGGAGCCAGATAGTTGGGGGCAATATGCCGACTCTGTAAACCACTTAAGAGAGGACTGTAGAGCACTGTGAAGCAATATATAAGTCAAAGTGCCATTGCTATTATTAGATATCTTGCCCTGCGGAATGAAAGAGATTGAGGGGAAATATAAAAATGTAGCATTTTCTCTAGAAAGTGGGAGATCCTTTACAAGAAACCAATAACTTCACATCTGTAAAGAACAGATGGTAAGAGAAATATTCATTAGCGGCCTTTACACCAAGGCCGCTAATAAATATTTGTGATTTTAAGAAGGCCTATGTAACCATTACTCCCTTAAATATTTAGAATGCTGTTTTGAGATGCACATTTCTAAAAGCTGAAAATGCAAATATATCAGACTAAAACTTGCCATTGAAAATGTATGGAGTACATTAAATTGGTACACACAACTGAAAGTGCAGAGGTAGCAAACAAATGTTATCTACTTGTAGAAAAAAAAGTATTGGCATAGGATTAAAGCCACAGGTGCAATTTTCTCATGATTAGACCACAGCACAATTATTTCTACTCCATGCCAACAAATGCCCTGTTAAACGTCCTGAAATTTCAGCAGAGGCAGCTATTCCTCAAATTTTAATCAGTGGTGTTCTTGAACTTACAGCGCTTGGCAGGCCGACTTCTCTGTCCTGAAAAGAAAAAAGACGAGTCAATTTATAGTTATTTGGGAATGAGACAAACAACTCTCTCAGAATGGGCAAGCAAGAGATCCTCTGGCTAGCTCTTATTAGGATTTATTGAAGTTTTAAAAAGCGTTACCAATTTGACCTGATTATCCCAATAATTTGTTTTAGCTGTGTGGAAATTACCGCTACCGCATCAGTAAATTTACTAGAATTTCAACATGATTACTGAAACAAAAAAAATAAAATGCTGTAAACAAATTGATTATTTGGAATGCGTAGATAGTAGAAAGCAGGGATCCAATAATAAGCTAAGACTTTTGGGGAAATAGAGAGGCCAGAATCAAGTAAAATCAAGTATCCTCCGCGAGCTGCACTGGCTGCCTGTTGATCTCCGGGTACGCTTCAAGGTGCTAGTCATCACCTACAAAGCCCTTCATGGTATTGGATCTGGGTACTTGAGAGACCGCCTACTGCCAATTACCTCCACTAGACCAATAAGATCCCACAGACTAGGCCTCCTCCGAATTCCATCAGCCGGCCAGTGTCGACTGGTGACTACCCAGAGGAGGGCCTTCTCTGTGGCTGCTCCGACCCTTTGGAACGAACTCCCCGTGGAGATTCGTACCCTCACCACCTTCCAGGCCTTCCGCATAGCCCTTAAAACCTGGCTGTTCCGACAGGCCTGGGGCTAAAGACTTGCAGCCCCACTTCGAATGGTATGATTGTTGTGCTTTTTAATTGTGTATGGTCTTTATGTTTTGTAACTTGTCTGTTTTTCCCCTCCCTTGAGTTGTGAGCCGCCCTGAGTCCCTGTGAGCCGCCCTGAGTCCCTTTCAGGGAAAAGGGCGGCATACAAATAAAGCAAAATGAAAATGAAATGAAATAAAAAATCAGCCCAAGAGATTTTGCAACAAGGAAAAAAGAAGCTTTTTTTGGGGGGGGGGAAGCAATTTAATTACCCTTAGTTATACCAGTGGCATCTGTTTCATTCCCTTGAAAAAAAAGAATGCCTGTTAATTTTGGCACATTTGCCACAAGTGCAAGCAAAGCCCAGTTTTATTCCAAGTTCATTTTTAGTTTTCTAACCAAGCTACGGTTTCTACTGTAATCTTGAGATTTGTGAGCTAACACAATGATTACCTGCATCCCACCAATTCTGGATCACTACAGAATGAGCAAAGATTTGATATGAAATGAATTACAATATATTGCAGAGTGCTGAGTGGAGTTAACAGGAAATATGAAAAAAAATAGGTGAAGAAAGCTATGAGGTAAGAGAAATTGTGTATTAGGAAAGATTAGCTGCAAAACAGGGAGAACAACAAAGAAACAAAGGACAGTTGCAAAAATACAATCTGCAATAGAGAGGAACAGTAAAGATTAAGAGAGGGAAGAAAACCATTTGCTGAATCATGTAAGCAAAGTGTTTTGGAAAGAGATGAAAAGGACTGGAAAACAGCTTCTACCAGAGTGAATGGAATTAAAAATAAATGTAATAAAAAGATTATGGATGAAACTAAAGGGGGAGAGATCTGCATACAGCAAGATGTGAAGAAATGATACTGAAATGTATATATAAATGTTAGTATTGAAAAAAATGTTGAAAAGGTGTTTTGGCTTTAATGGCATGTTCCATTTTGAATTACTTTGGATAGGCAAGTGGTCATATTAATTGATAAATACATAAACAAAGGATAAATAACTTGTGTGATAAAACATATGTGTCAGGTTACAATGAAGTGATCCAAAATCCTAACTCAGTTTGACTGCTTTTGGGACAATTGCTGTTAGTCTAGACCAGGGGTGTCAAACTCGTGATGACACACTGCTGGCACATGATGTTTCTTGTATTTTTCCCCATTCTAGGGTGGGTGTGGCCTATGCGTGGTGCATCTGGCTCGCGGGCCGTGAGTTTGACACCCCTGGTTTAGACTGCCTCATCGGGTGTGGGTATGAGTCAAGGGAGGGAGGATTATCATAAGTAACAAAATGCCAGTACTCATCACTAGCTGCTGTTTTATTTCATGCAATGGTTGTAATGATCCATAAAGTTCCAATTCTTCCAACATTTAATGACCCAATGAGGGAAGCTCCTTCTGTCTTTCTCTTCCTTCAAGAACACTAAAGAACAGAGTCCTTCAGACAGAAAGCTAAATGTTCCACCAGGGACTCCTGCTGCCGGCTCTTATCTCAAAAACTCCACCATCAGCAAAAAATATCCATCACTATGATTTGCTATAAATACTCACTAGGTTTTCCTGCAGCTGCTGGGCATACCTCTTCCACCACGGGTGTCTTCAATGGGACTACAAAAGCGCCAGCATTACCTAAAGGAACATAAGGAAAGATGACAAAAATCAGTAATCTTGTCAAAAGGATCCCTTTGAATAGGTAAGTAAGATGGAAACAAGGAACAAAGGAGAAATGTTGCCAGAAGCAGAGGGAGGAGGCTGGGTGCAAAGCACAAGGTAATTCCATCAATCTCATCAGCAGTTACTGGAGTTGTGAATCAACAAACCAAGTATTTGGGGGATAGAAGGGGTCCTGGAGCCCACCCATTCTTTGAATTATCCTGGATATGGACTTGGTGGATTCTGCCCCTCTATCTAGTTTCTTTTTGTGCACAGGGGAAAAGTCCAAAAAGGGTTCCCCTCCCACTGGGCAAAAGGGACTGAATGATGACTTCTGTCAATTCCCCCCTTCCTCCAAGATCTCCCATGCAATCCCAGAAAGCATCTAGATTATTCTGGAGCAAAATTTTCAACTGTACTTTCAATAGCCCTCCCTCCACCATAGGTCATTTTAGGCTGGTATGAAGTAAATATGTGTTTTTCAGAACTGCCCTACACCATGTTCATGTGCCCACCCCAGTCCTTCTCCCCATGTGACATTTTTAACACGTATGACCATTGCAGCATCCCCATGGTCATGTGATTTACATTTGGAAGCTTGGTTCATAACACTTTCATATTTATGACAGTTGCAGTGTCCCGGGGTCATGTGATCACCTTTTGTGACCTTCTGACAAGCCAAGTCAGTGGGGAAACCAGATTCACTTAACAACCGGGTTACTAATGTGATTCAGTTAACAAATGTGGCAGGAAAAGTCAAAATGGGGCAAAACCCATTTAACAAATTTCTCACTTAGCAATATCAATTTTGGGCTCAATTGTGGACAACTACCTGTAGAGTTAAATATTGTAGGACAGGGGTGTCAAATTCGTGGCGTCACTTTGTCGTCATGTATCATGATTTTTCCTTCGCTAAGCCGGGGGTGGGCGTGGCCAGTGCATGACGCATTTGGCCTGCGGGTCACGAGTTTGACACCGTTGCTGTAGGAGAAGGACCATAGCCATCTTGTCCACTATATATTTGCAAACATGGTTTTTGATAACCAATAGTTTAGCAATACAGGTAATCTTCGACTTATGACCACATTGGAGCCCAAAATTTCTGTTGCTGAATGAGACATTTGTTAAGTGAGTTTTGCTCTATCTTACCCTTCTTGCCAGTTGTTAAGTGAGTCACTGCAGTTAAGTTAGTAACATGGTCTTTAAGTGAATCAGGTTTCCCCCATTGACTTTGCTTGTCAAAAGATCGCAAAGGTTGATTACATGACCCCAAGGCATTGCCACCGTCATAAATATGAGTCAGTTGCTAGATATGTGAATTTTGACTGATGACCAGTCAGTCTGCAACAGTTGAAAGTGTGAAAAATGGTCATGTCACTTTTTTTGATGCTGAGGTAACTCTGGATAGTCACTAAATGAACTGCTGTAAGTCGAGGACTGCCTGTACTATCCCACAAATCTTATTAACTAAAGTCAGTTAATTTATTAACACTTCCATAGGTTAGCAATGTATGCAAACCGTATGTGAATACAAAATCCCAGTAAGTAAATGAATAAATAAAAGCACCTTTTTTTTTCTGTTCCTGATGTATACCCAAAAATCGTGCTGTAATTTCTTTGAGGTTGCAGGCTTTCTGATAAACAGCACCTAGCAGGTTTTGATCCAACTCTATTCTGGGAACAAACACATCGCTGAAGGGTACCTGTCGCAGTTTTGTTGATCTCTGAAAAAAAACATCAAGATCTCATCTGAACTCCAACCAACAAAGAGCTCCACTTCCCTTCCACGGGGCTCTTGACACATTATATAGAAAACAGAGTGGAATGGAGTGGAACAGAACAGAACAGAACAGAATTCTTTATTGGCCAAGTGCAATTGGACACACAAGGAATTTGCCTTTGGTGCAAAAGTGTACATGGAAGCTATAAATGATAAATCATGATCATAGTCATAATAAAATAGTAGAGTATTTATGAGTAAACATACATTCTGCATTTTCTTTTTTTAAATAGACTCAAAGCAGGGAAAGGCATGTCTCAATTGTCAGATTTTATTAATGCTAGGAACTGAAGACCAACAACATCCAGAGAGTATCAAATTGGGCAGGTTAAGCTAGGACCGTTACCACCTGTAGTCTTAGTCTAAAGACACTAAAACACCCATCTCCACTCTGTTCACATTTCTGGGCAACTCTTTGAATTCTCAGCAACAGGGAATTCTGGGAGTTCAACCCATATACCTATAGGACAAGCAGCTCAGGAAAGAGTTCACTGGAGAAAGGTAAAGGTAAAGGTTCCTCGCACATCTGTGCTAGTTGTTCCCAACTCTAAGGGGCGATGCTCATCTCCGTTACAAAGCCGAAGAGCCAGTACTGTCTGAAGAAGTCTCCTTGGTCATGTGGCCGGTATGACTAAATGCCAAAGATGCACAGAACACTGTTACCTTCCCACCAAAAATGGTTCCTATTTTTCTACTTGCATTTTTACATGTTTTCGAACTGCTAGATTGGCAGAAGCTGGGACAAGTAATGGGAGCTCACTATGTTATGCGGTGCTAGGGATTCGAACCACCGAACTGCCAACCTTTCTAGTTGACAAGGTCAGTATCTTAGCCACTGAGCCACCGTGTCCCTCACTGGAGAAAGGGCCTCCCTAATTAGGGAATCCTTTAATCACTGTTCAGAAGAGTTTCTACTGCCTGAAAATTACCTTTAAAAATGTGATGTCGTCCATCTCTGCCAAGGCCACTTCAATTTCATCTCGCTCCCTCTGGATTTCATTCTTCTTCTTACCCAGGACTGCATGGACATATTCAAATTTATCCAGGACTCTTTTTTCTTCCAATTTGATTTTCCTCCACGAATTCATTTCTTCTTCATGAATTAAAGCTACTATTTCTAGGAATTCTGATTTCAGCAAATCCAGCTTCCGATTAGTGGTATTCTGAAAGGACAATATCATCAAAATAAAAAATGATTTGGAAATGAAGTAATGCCACATTACTTATTAGGAGGCTGGAAACTGGAGAAAAAGTTGGGAGACCTCTGAAGAAAGAAATGGCAGACTGAATAGGGAGTTGATGACCACAACTAAGAATGAACAGCTGTTGAACAGCTGCCTAGTGTCACTTGCCAATGAAATGGGTGGTGTGTAAATATAATAAATAAATAAAAATAAAATAGACCCGCTCTATGAACCTTTGTAATGTGAGGAATATTTGTACTTCCTTTTCTAATCACATTCAGAAATTGCTTGTTAGCTACTTTTCAGCTATTGGAAATTTTGAATTGAAGTCTGAAAGTCTGAAAATTTGGGCTAATCCTTAAGCAAAGCAAATTTTAACTACAAGATTAAGAAAAGCAGGATAAAAATCGAATGAATAAATTAAACTTTTACAAAATTGTTGATAAATGTTTCACTTAGCAACAGAAATTTTGGGCTCAATTGTGGCTGTAAACTGAGGACTACCTGTAATGTGTACATGAAATCATGAGTCAATTCAAAGGAGGCATTTTTATAGTACAACTCAATCTTAAAATATTTTGAAAGAAGTGTAACTTCATTCCCCCCACACACACATTTGAATCCCAGCTACCTAACTCATCCATCCATCCATAAAAGGCTGTATGTATGTACGTACGTACATACGTACGTACGTATGTATGTATGAATGTATGTTCCAGCATAACTCTGGAGTGTCTCGAGGAATTTCAACCAAACTTGGTTTACAGATCACTTAATGTCTGGAGAAAAATACTATGGAATAAGACACCCCTAACACCCCTTGGGGTAAGTGTTCTGTTAAGATGCAGCCTGTTTTGCCTTTCAATGGCTTCTACTACCATAACTCTAGGAAAGAGGAGTGCATGGGTGTAGGGGGAAGGGAGAGGGTAGGGATGATGGGCATGGGAGTAGGGGGAAGAAAGGTCCCTCTCAATGGCTCCCTGTCAGATAAACGCTTCAGGGCAAAGTGCCAGGATCGTAGACAGGGCGGGAAAGAGGAGCACATCGGAGAGGGAAGGGAGAGGGCAGGGATGATGGGCTTAGAAGCAGAGGGAAGAAAAACACCTATCAATGGCTCTCTGTTAGACAAACGCTTTGACGTCTATAAATACCCGGCCAATGCCGGGTTATCAGCTAGTATATTATAAAATTCAAGTAAATGGTGACAGCAGAAGGCAATCTTTGAAATAGCAAAGACCCACGCCTTTTGACCCAATAGCTCCCCCCCTCTCTCTTACATTATCATGTCCTACTTTCAAAGAGAAGTGAACTTCCATTTAAAAAAGAATTATTTCCTTACGCTGAGTTGCTTTTGCTGTGCTCGTACTTGTTCCAAGGACTTTGTAGTCTTGTCATTCAAGGCACAGAGTTCTGTCAATCTCTTCTTCAGCACTAACTGTAAGAGAACAGGAAAAAAAATCTTCTTTAGATTAAAAACAACATTTGGAACACAGCATGCCAACTACTAAGCAAACAAAACCACTCTGATAGGAGATAATAGTTTTACTTCAGGATTCTGATTAAAAGAGACAGATCTGCAGTCACATCTTCAAAAAATGGTATTATTTTTAAAATTGGGCTTTTAATGTTGTGCAGAGTGGCGGGGGGAATGGAGCTGACAACTATGTAGATAAATATAATCTGGCCAAATCCAGTACACAAAAAACAACGAAATAAAATAACAATTCAACACCAATGGTGTAAACATTACTGTAAAAGCCTTTTTTAATGTAAAAGAAGCTGTTATCAATCCAACTTCAGATATATAGAGTTGTTAGCTTCTGAAACCCATCACTTAGCAACACATGACAGAAGTTACCTTATTTGAAGAATGGTAGTTGAGGTAAAATTCAACATGCAAGAACAAGGGAAAGATATGCATCCTTTGGCTGTTAAGGGAGACTCGAGCAACACAGAATAAGATATAGTGAGAGCATATATGGCAGTGGTTTTTAAACTGACCCAATTACCTCTTTTTGTAGCCTTGGATGTCAACTTTCCCACCCACCCTCCAAAAAATGCAAACCCCCATTATTTTACACAAGCATCAACTTTATATTATGGTTGCATCAATCAGATGATTAGACTGGAGTTGGCATTTTTACCCATCTACCAAATCCTTCCCAAGAACCTGGGATAGGCAGGTTGTTTGATGGTGTTAAAGGTATCATTACTATTTATTTCAGCAACAACAGCCCCATACTAAATCCTTGACTCATCAATAAGCAACTACAAATTTTTCTGTTACTTTAGGGCAGGGATGTCAATCTCGATTCCATTGAGGGCCGCATCGGGATTGTATTTGACCTCTGGAGGCTGGTGGGGGGGAAGCACCCTGCCAACAAAAATAGGCTCATGACCTACCTCCAAATCAAAACTAAATACTATAATGATACTAAATTATATGACATCGAAACAGAACCACACGAATTGGATAAAATTATTCAAAGCTCAGATAGAAAGATGATAGGGAGAATATATAAATTTCTCCTGAAGTATAAAATGGAAGAGGAAATTGTGAAAGAACAAACGGTAAAATGGGTGCAGAACTTTGGCTATAATATTGAATTAGACAAATGGGAAAAAATTTGGGGAACAAACTTAAAAATGGAACTGTCAGTTGCATAGAAGAAAAACCAGTACAAAATGTT